TCCGATCTCCCAAGCACTGAGAAACATCCAATACACTGTCCCTTTCACACACATTCACCACGGTCATTAATTGATTTATTTTAAAAGACAGTAGTTAAGAGTTAACAGTTCATTCAACTGAGCAAAAAACATTTGTAACTAAATAAGAAACTTTAGTAGCAGTGAATAGAGTATTGTTTTATTAATTGGTATGTAAATATAAGATTTGCAAATATTTAGACTGGGCTAACTATTTAAAAAAGTGCTTATATATGATAACTAGGGCAGCATGGTGGCTCAGTGGTTAGCACTGTGCACCTCACAGCAAGCAGTTGCTGGTTTGAGTCCAGGCTGGGCCCGGTGAGCCAGCATATTTGAATTGAATAATGACCGTGGTGAATGTGTGTGAAAGGGACAGTGTATTGGATGTTTCTCAGTGCTGGGTTGCGGCTGGAAAGGCATCCGCTCCGTAAAACATATGATGGATAAGTTGGTCTATTCTGCTGTGGTGACCCCTGATAAATAAAGGGACTAAGCCAATGTATGAATTGGCAAAATGAATGAATCAATGATAACTAATAGTAAAACTAAACAGCACTAATACCAACAAAACCTAGTCAAAAGAGAAATAAAAAGATAAATGAACCACAGATGCCTGTATATTGAAAATAGTAAGGTTACTAGAAGAACATTATTAGGTGGTTTTATCCAGTGGCTACTTCTTATTGCTAGTCACAAATGGATTAGCCGTGATTAAAACGAAACCTAAATGTACATTATAGCGAGTATTTAAAGTGATAAACATGAAAACAGCTTGCCATAAGCAAATCCTCACGGCGTGCTCAATCGAACAGAGGCGTTTTATCATGTAAAACAGGAAAACTATCAAATTTAGCTGAAACAGTATGTTGCGTCTTCCAATTCCACATTAAACGAACAGGTGAAATGATAATCCATATAAGATCAGACAGAGAGAGAACTGAAGATGACCGGTTTGTGACAATAAGTGCGAGCAGTGCCGCTGTCACTCCATAAAGTCAAAGCAAGTATTCTGCAATGCGCGCGCTCCTCATTTATAATCTGTGTTAAACATGTGCATTCATTTACATAAGGCATTCAAAATACTCATTATAGCGTTTTCAGATCTCCAGCATGTTACACCGACTTCTGACTGCGCGATACGGACTTGTCTCCCTCTCTCACACACTCTCATCAGCAACATTAGGTTACTGTACAGCCTCTGCACATACTTTTTACCAACAAAACAACCAAAAACCCGTTCACAACAGTCAAATGTGCCAGTCTTTAAAATGTGGCTTTTTTCCCATTCAGGCAAACTACTAAAGCTTTGAGAGTAGTCCTCACTGCGAATGAACAGCATCGGGGACGTGCGCAAGTGCTACATGTGTTGTTTACACGCAGCTCTCGCTTCCACACCAAACACAAGCTTTCATACATGCTCCGTTTGTCTTACCTTTATGCAGAAACGCAGCTAAAATCACGTAGAAAAACAGTGAAATAGAGTGAGATCCGAGTCCCGAGATCGCCATGTTGAACACCTGCTTCAGACTGGCGGCGCTAAATCACCTAGAGACGCTCAGAGGATCATGAGATGCGGAGAATCGGGAGGGAGTAAACGCGCGCGCGCGCGCACACACACACTATAACGAGCGCGAGCGCACAAAGTATACGATTCGACTGCGAGCGTGTCGTCTGACAGATACAGAAAGTGTCAGGTTAAATTGAACTGCGTGAAATTTGACTTTTGTTGAAGTATCCTATTATA